TCTCTCTCTCTCTCTCTCTCTCTCTCTCTCTCTCTCTCTCTCTCTCTTGATTTTCAATAGAATGTATTCACGAGAACTCTTCAAGGCTACAGATTTAACTTTCTGATTGTGGAACTTTAACCAACTGGGTCTGGAAGTGCAGCACAAGCAAAAACAGTTTGTCTTTATTTGTAAGAGAAGGTGCCAAGAGAGGAATTGAAAAAAGAATCACTTTGGATCAGCAAACGTAACAAAACATACCTAGTTTGTTTACTTATCACAGGGTTTAAGAGCTGCCTCTATCAAAAAAGCACACAAACTGGTTGTAATCTCATATCTGTTATTCCTGGAAGTAAACATGAAAAGCACAGGGGAAGTACACGCCTGACAGGTGCTTAATAAGCGCTGCAGATATCAGAGTCCAGGAACTTGATAAATCACCGTCAAAAATACCTTTTGAACATGGCAATGGTGCTCAGATCAGATAAATAAAAGATTGAAACATCTGTATATGTGTGGTTTTCAAATGTATTTAGCGCTTGTTCGTTCTTCCTGGCGGCCATGCTTTGACATCCAGCAACATGAAGAGATTATTTGAATGAGGACAACTAGGATGCAGGTTTGGCAACTTGATATGAAGGTGATGAGTGTAACACAATCCCATCCAGTCTTGTGTGGGAAATGATTCCCTGTTGATGATTTATTACTCATGACGGAACATGCCCACTGGTTTTAGCATATATTTTAACATAGTGCATTTAAAAACAAAAGTATAATGTATTACAACTCTGAGAATTATAATACACTATAATCCTTTCAAAACAAATAAATGTTAGTGAGTGACAGTAATTATGAAGTATTATGATACTAGACCTTATAAGTCATTATAAAATGCTTTATATTGTTTAATGATTATTGCTATAATGTATTATGAATATGTATATTCATTTATGTTTTGCGTTTTTGTCATTTTGTTTTGAATTAAATTGTTCAATAATATAAGCAGATTATATTGCATTATAAGTATGTTAGGAATGCATTATAGACATGGAAAGTGTTACCGATTACACTTTTCCTTAATGTCTTGAACTTAAATTCATTTAAAACCTGTAAAATTTTGGTTGATATAAAAGGTCAAATATAAGATGGTAAATGGACTTGTATAGCGTCCTACGACCACTCAAAGCACTTTTAAACTACATGTCATTCACCCATTCACACACTGATGGCAGGGGCTACCATGCAAAGGTGCCACCTGCCCATCAGCACTAACTAACCATTCACACCCATTCATACACCGCAGGCGCTGTGATTGAAGGTAAAACCCGCTGATAACGACATCCCCAAGACTGATAAGACTAGTTTACGTTATGTATCACATTTTGCAACAAAACATCCTATGCGTCCAATCTGCCGATCTGTCTCCACCCGTCACATTCTGAAATCTTCTTGACTCACTCACTCAACCCGTCTGGACAGCCTGATGCAGTTTACTCTATGTGGCCGAGATAAAAAGACAAAGAAGAAGGACAGAAAGAGGCCAGGCCGACAGGTGCGGCTGGTTCTCCGGATCTGTAAACCCTCCGCTGTACACTCACTGACCAGAGATACCCATCGCTAGAGGAAACATGTGCTTTTCCATAACCAGTATTTTCATTTTGTTATTTGTTTGAATTTCGTTAATCATTTCATTGGGACGTACTCGTCCCAATGAAACTCTTCTCGGTACGGGATATTCAATGTAACGAGCGGTGTCTTTTCAAAGCACCCACTCTCCTCTCCCATTCTTAAATTCTCTGTCCTCTTTTCTCCGAGCTCCCATTTGTCTCACTTACAGCAGCTGTTGCTAGGCAACAGCTCAAACCCTATATGCATATTAATACTTATATCATAACAATGTCGTCAATGAAAGGACGAAATATAAGTTCTCAAAGGTTAATGTAATACTTGCTATTATTTAGTTTTGGTAAAACTTGTTACACTTGTTTGTTAGCGGATGAGTGAGATTATCACAGTAATACGCTAAACGCCGAGCACTGCTTATCAAAAGATCATGCTCAATTGTTTTCTTTAGTTCATAATGACCTGGCAGGTGCACAGGGCTTTGTCTCAGGTTGTGTTACAGAATGAATGAATGCAGCAGGTGACAGCTGAATAACAGGCAGGGTAGAGAAGAAGAAACAATAGGCTGGAGTACAGTAGAGATGAGAGGGAGACTGAACAACAAGATGTAAGTTATAGCCACGCCAGACGTATCCTAGAAATTCTTTCACGCTCACCTAATCAAGCACATACAGGACCAGCACAAGTTAAGACCTGCAGTGAGAGGGTGTGTGTGAGCGGTTTTTTACCACCATGTGTGGGAAGACAGACAGACTGGCTCCCTGCTCTTCCTACTTCTGTTTCTCCAGAATGACACAACAAAGAGGAGAAAGTCACCTGGGACACCAGTCATTACAACATAATGGAAAAAATCTGCAGTGACTGTCTTTAATTATATGCCACTGTATAGCAATGGTTGTGTTTGCTCTTTGGACAATGCCTTCTTTATTTATTAGTAGTTGTTTAGGCATTTAGAATAGCTCCTGGATATTTGTTTCATTATATCTGGAGGTAAAACATGTGCACTGGTTTCAACTATTACTCTCTTTTCTTTTTTTTTTTAAGCAGGAAACAATGTGTGTATTTACATGAACACAAGTATCCTGAGCGTTGTTCAGCAGAGTGTCCAGACAGCCAGAAACCAAACCCCAGACAAACCTTCACCGACGGATGATCAGAGAAATCTGGGTAATATCATGTTACATTATAATCCAAATGTGATCCAAACCAGGATAAGGATTTTCCCTACCATCATCATGGTCGCAGTATTACACAACATTACATTTTCCCTACTGCAAGGAAACATCAGCTTCCTTTGTCATTGTTGGAATTTTCCAAATAGCAGTCTTCATTAGACCATGTGAAAGTGAAGCAGGCATAAAACGTCTCTTCCTGTGACCTTACGTCTCAACCATCCATCACTGAGGTGGGATTTAAGCAGCAAATTCAGTGTCTGTCTCTCTCAGCTCTTTCTCTTTCATTCCACTGTCTGCTTTATCACTCAAATCACAAACTATCTGTGAGTCGCACAGCGTTCAACAAGCCGGACAAGTTGTGTCTGAGAGAGAGGAAGAGGGACAGGGGAGCAACAAAATGACAAACACAGAGAACAGAGAGCAAACAGGCAACAGACGCTGACATGAAGAAACAGAACAGAAGACAGAGACACAGAGAAAACAGAACAAAATATTTGACAATAAACAGTATAAACCCACATCCTGCTCCTTTTTAGTGAAACACTGAATACATGACACTACCAGACAGTTTCTCTAACATAATTAACATGAGATCCCTGGCCTACATGCTGTTAGAACTTCCTCTGCTGGTTTCTAATCGGCCTGCTCAGGAGTGCCAGACTGGCACGTGGACTGAGTGTGGCTACAACCCTCCAGCGGGCAGGCAAGGGGCCGAACAGCTGGATCTGTGCCCAGGATACTATCTCCGTCTCCTGCAGAGAGAAACTCCTCTCCATGATGCCTCTTTTCCAGCCAGGCAAAGACTGCTACTGCAAGGGCATCTCCTCTCCAGTCTCCTACCACCACTGAGTGACAGGGCCTCCTCCGTGAGCAAATGAAAAGACTGCACTCAACCTGTATGCCATGCTGCAACAGTCATCCACACACAGGTGCCTCCCATCATACACTCTCACTTGTTATAAGGCCACATTAGAGGAGTGCCCCTTTCTTATTCAGTGCATATCAGGTGGTTTATTGAAGCATGCTGGAAATCACTTATCATTTTTACACTAAAGCAAAATGGATCCTCACTGTGCGTGGCAATGAGTGTCCCTCTCATATACTGAGCTAACGTTACAACCCACATTCTAAAATCACATTGGAACCACTGACACGCGTGTCTCCCACAAATGTATCACAATGCAAATATATGTTTTAACAATCAACCAAATGTGTCATTTGAAAAAAATATCTGGATTTTGAAAAATGCAAAAAAAAAAAAAAAAATTGAAAGAAACACGCCATGCTGTTGAACACAGGAGCGAATCATCTTGTATCACTGTTGATGCCAACACAAATGCTACATGAGCGGAAAGCGGTCAGTCCCCATCATAAAAAAAATCATGCGTAAAAGAAGGTGTGCCATTTTTGCGCACCGCTGTGATGTGTCTGCAAGGAGCAGCCTTACCTGAATCGGGGTGAATCTTTTATACATTCTTCAAAGTCCACCGTCATTTTTGCGTTTGATCGTGTATTCCCACTTCAGTCAGCCAATGTCATTGCCCGCGGCGGGATGTCGCTTGAACCGTGCGGATGGTGACTGGTGTCCCCTGACGCGCAGCAGTCTGTAGCCTCTCTCCCGGTGGCACCGTGACACAAAATGCGAGCTCGGTGCGCGGCAGTCAGATTATTACTACGCTGCTGCCACTGTAGCCGAGTCAGGCGAGAGGCGTAGCTGCACCGTGGACACTGAAAAAGGAGAGGAGAGCGCCGTCTAGTTACAATCCACCGTAACAACTCTGGCCAACAGGAGGAATCGTGGTAGGAAGAAGAGCTGAGCCTGGATAATATTTACACATCAGTATAACAGACACTACAACATAAAACACACTGGTGTAGACTACATCCTCCCATCATCACCCCCCATAATAATACAACAATGGTGATGTTTATGTCTGTTTCATTCAAAAAATAGTCCATGTTCATATAACATCGAGAAAAAAGGGAATATGAGTAGGCCTAATATTTTAAAATGTAGTTTTAATATTAAGAATAATTGGGTTACTAGGCTAGTACTACTTAACCCAATTATTCTGCCAAAACACAATCAAATCTTGCACTGTCACCTCCAAATGTAGACTACCTCCTCAATAACTTGCCCACATGATTAGTAGCCCAAATGAACCCAGATATAAAACATTTGACAGTTTCAACCAAGGCTTCCAATTATACATTTTGATAGTGTAAAGTTTATTGCTTTCTGAAAAAATATTGAGTTCTAAGACGAATATCTGAATTTGTTCACTTTAATCGAGGAAATCAGACTTTAATCTCAAATGTATGGCTGTAAATTGCGCAATAGAGAAGTGAAAAGAGCAATTCGTGCAGGCTATAAGATTGATTGCCTCTGGAATGATTAATCAGAAGTCTGATTTACTTTCTCTTTTCAATTTCATGTCATAATCCTCTTCAATCTCGTACCAGTATGTTGCTCGTGTTGACTCTCTTTATCCCACTCGCAGCTGACACATCTCCACTGTCTCTGACCTCAATGATCTAAACGGCAGATGGCTTTGAGGCTGGTCAGAGCCGAGGACGCCGACACGCACCGCCTCAGTGGATTATGACGCAATCAAAAAGCGACCGATAAGGGGCAGAGCCCTTGCTCAGACAATAAGATGAAACGTTGTGCCTGAAACTATACATCAATGTTCATATGTGTGCTTCATGTATAGTACGTGCAGTGGCCATGGATGTCACAGAAGTGCACACGTGCAGAACGCACGTTGTACAGGCAGCGCGTGATCACAGAAATGTGGCCAGAGGCGGGATGTCCATCATGTGTCTTTTAGCTTGTGTTGGATAGTTTGTCTATCTTGACACAATGCCCCTATGTTGGTTGTTGTATCGAGTTAATATTGAGAACAAAACACTGAGTAGAGTGATACACTAACCCGCTATGTTTCAACTGAGACGCTGCAACTTGAGTCTTTAAGGTTCTTCCGGACTACAAATAAAACTACTCGGAAATGCGACACATGTCGACGTTCCGCCGCCTGCTGCCTTTTCTCTGCTGTAGTCCGTCGCTTTGGCTGCGTCCCTAAACGCATGAGTCCCTCACAGGGTTTTGTAAAAGTCGTCCTTCCCCGTCAGCAACCAAATGGACGCGGTGTTTACGTCAACGTTGTCCGCGTAAAAAGGGATTTTTCATCAAATGTAACGTTTCACTCTTGTAAACGCGAACAATATGATCAAGAAGTGTCAAATACATTTTGAGAGACAATGCACAACAACTGGGCACGTTATCTCGTATTTTTTCAATACATTGGAACAAATTACAGGTAAGGGTATACTACGGGGTAGCTGGTTACACTGTAGGGGGTGTTATTATTTATCTATTATTTGATTATCATTATTTCTGCAGGGGTGCAGTGAAAGTGCCTCCCAATCAGCTGGTTAGGAAGGGGGTCCAGGACCACTTGGAGGTAAGTTTTACTGATACTAACGTGTTGTTGTGTCCTCAAATACACGTTCCTCTTTCTTTCCTTCATGCCAACATCACTTCTAGTCCTACAAACCAGAAAACAAGCTACTGGTAGGCTACTATGTGGTTTTGTTGTGAAATGACCTGAACAGCATTTATTGCATAGATAACAACACACAGTCTGCCTGTAACACATACAGGCAGACTGTGCAGTAATCATGTCAAATGCTTGCCAGTTTATTAGGTAGACCTAACTGAAACTAATGCATATATCAAAACAGCCCTGCATTAATACCAAGGACGTCCTCCAGATGTAAGCTAATTGCATTGTCTTATACGTGGCAGGTGTTTCATATAGCAGATTATTCAGCTCATCAGTCTGCATGTTGGTGACTCCTGTCGCATGTCATTCACCTTCACTCTCTCCCCTCATTTCCCGTCAGCCCGCTACTGTCTATCTAATACTGTGTTTCTAATAAAGGCATGAAGAGGGACAAAAATATGACAGAAAAAAAGTGGACACACTTTCTATTTGCGGCAAGCTGCTGTTTACAGCTTTACTTGATATTCCTTTTTTCTCTGTTTTGATGTAACTCATCTGTCTGGCTATTTGTGGTAAGCTGAGAGTGGTTTAAAAAGTTCAAAAGCTACTCTTTCAAAAGTTTTTTTTTTTTTTTTTTACAACAGCCCACAGCTTTTTATCTCTGTGATGTTCTCTCTGTCTTGTGTTCAGGATGCAATAAGGAGGCTGAGGCCGCTCAACCCAGTGTCTCTGTCAGTCTCCAGCAGGACAGACACAGGTGTCCACGCCCTCTCTAACTCCGCCCATTTCGACCTCCAACGCATGAACGATAAGCCGCCGTTTACTGAAGACGTTCTTGTTGAAGCTCTTAATTTCCATCTCAAAGCCGAGCAGATCAGGTGAGTCAGGAGTGTCACGTCTCAAAAGTTCACCAGTATAGGTGATCTCCTCACACAGGGTTTCAATGTAACACAGGGTCGTGCAAATTGAACATCTGGACACATTTCCACATTCACCAGCCACAGTAACCTGAAAATCTGTAGTTTATAGGTGTGACGTTTTCAGATTAATTCCAAGAAGTTTTAGATCTTTAGCTGTTACATCAGAGGACAATCTGAGCATTTTATTCAAACTATGAGACATGAAAAGAGGCGCAGAGGTTTGAGAAGAAAAGTTTATACTATTGCTGCTATAAAATTACAATATTCTATGACATTTGTGACGAACACCCCAAGTTATTGGTTGTCATATCCATGATTCTAATATTTCTGCAAGCAGCCAAAATTGGAAAATTGACTCAAATATTCCAAGATAATTGTACTGTAGAGGAACGTGGGGCATTGTTCTTAAAACCTTAAATCACCAAGAACATTTCTTCTCATATTCATACAACAATGCAAGTATTCCTGATGACCTGCCCCAAAAAACAACAGTGTGTTTGGTTAATATCTACTCTGTTAGCAGTTAGCATATAGCTTTGATGAGATGCCACAAGTTGAGCTTTCGAGGTAAGGAGCCGTATGAATTGTATGGAAGTATTTCATATCCTGGTTGGTGGTGTCCCGTCTTCTCCTTTTCTCTCCTCACTGCTTTTCTCCACCTCCTCCTTTTAATCCCTTTATTACATACCATTGCATTATTCAAAGCCATAGTCCCTTTTGTATGGCTACTTAGGTTTAGACTGCTGTGATACTTTGTGCGGCAGCTTCTCTGTCTGAGAGAGATGAAGAAAAGAGACACAAAAGGGGAATGACAAAAGAAATGGACAGATGGAGGTACAGATAGTGAGGGATAAAGGGGTGCGCAAAGACAAAGTAAGAGCACCAAACAGATATTGACACAGACTGCATTAAAACGGAGCAGTGAGAGTTTGAAACAGAATGAGCCATCTGGGAGAGAGACAGAGGAGAGAGGAGAGAGGAAAGGGAAGCTCCCAGCATCCCGCTAATCCCTAAACCTGCAGAGAGAAGGTTAGAAAGGATTATCTCTGCTCTGCTTTTTGGTCACTAGCAAACACACACACACACACACACACACAAGGATACTCTCATCTAGCTAAATGGAAATTACCGTTTGATTAGAATGTGAAACCTGCTGAGAAATATGCAGTACAAACACACGGCTTGCCAAAATATTCAACCACCAGTAATGTTCATACACATTCCCCTATCTTCAGATTGGATGGAATTTTAGATAGTCTTAAAAACACATTGTCAGATCTGGCAACACAAACATCTTACTTTGGATGGAAGAGGTTATCAAAAATAGTTTTTGTCACAGTCACAATCAGAATGCGGCTCCCGGCTCATAGCTTTGGTCTGCTGCCTCCTGAAATAGTGTGCCAAATCAAGACGTAAACATAGACTAGCACACTGTAAAAAATAGTACCTCTTCAGTCGGGGGTTCGCTTGTCTGCTGTGCTGCCGTGAAAAGGGCCTAAATTAAATGATCGCCTCTTTTCCCATCGGGGAAACTGCTGATTAGCTTAATGGTGCCATGTCAAAAAATGCACCAGTTCACAATTGTGTAAGGCCATGCTTTGTACACTGCTTATGAAAATTTAATGTGTGTGTGTGTGGTTTGGGGGCCAGGCAAAAAGGCTGTCACTTCACATCGGAGCAGGCGCTGAAGGCAGACGCAAGGGTTTCCTCTGCCATGTGTCGCACCCAATCTCCTCCCCCGGAAACGTAACCTAGTTTTCTGAATGTGCACTGGCAAACACACACACACACACACACACACACACACACACACACACACACACACA